TCCCAGGTAAATAACAACATTTTCTTAAAGGCCCAATATGCCTCTGCGCAGTCTGATCAGGATCCATGCTGCTCGCAAACCCATTATGTTGGTTTTGTCGTGACGTAGCTCCAATGTATTCATTTCTGATGCATAAAAAGCCTTTAACCTTTTAACTGGAGCTGCTGTATCTGAACATAATATATAAAACAACATATGGTTAAAAAGGGACACTTACATTGCCCTTGGAATCAAATCTGATCATTTCGGATCATATGCCATGATCTTCAGGATATGGGGCGCCCATTTTGTTCACTTTATATCTATTTTGTTACAAAAAATACTACGGTGGTAAAAAAATACTGTCTTGTTAGAATTAAGGAATGCATGTAAATACCCTATTAACAATATCACCAACATATTTAAGCAAGATTTAGAGCTGGCCTATTATCAATTCTATCCGTATAAAATTTCAATTTTTTTCGTCTTGGTTTGTCCTCTATTAAAGGTATTAAACATGTATCTTCATTAATACAAGCTGATACGTCTTTCAAACGTATTTTATTTCCATACTGCCCTCCCTCTTGTCGCCAAAACTCAATTAAACGCATGAAATTCAACACGTTTAATGTAGCTGCTATGTAATGAAGATACAAATATTTCGACTATGGAACAATAAGTTCTGCAATGTAAGTCCGTTCATAACTAGAATATTTATATACAATTGATAATATCAAGAAATGCTCCGATGATATCGAAGATAGAACTAGAATAGAATGCGAAGAGATTATATTTCTCGATAGCATCATCACGTAAGGCTTAATTCAGGCATCTTTCTCTTCAAAATTCGTCACTCGTAACTTGTTTCGTTCACAAAATTCACCGCTTTAATAACAGGAAGAAACTTAATGCCATTGGCGACCACAAAAGTTGCGTTTGCAAAATTTTCCGCTTTAATAGCAGAATAAAATTTAATGCTTTGGGTGACCACAAAAGTTGCGATAACAAATAATAACCGCTGATTTGTACCTACATACATGGCTAATCCCGAATAAAAATTCCCTCTCCGTGCAAATGCATACTGTATACTATCCAATAAGATATTTAGTCAGGATTCAATAGGTTTGGGGGGAGAGATAATTAATTACACGTTGATAATAATCAGTTAATAGGCTTAATTGATTTAGATAGACATCTCAGGTATAGCCTTCATTTGCCTCATACAGATCTAAATCAGCTCTGATCTGCTGATAATCAAGCTAAAAAGCCCATGCCTGCCCGATTCAATAAAAATCAGCATTCATTCATTATATTTTTCAGCGCACTATTGTGTAAAAAGAAATAAAAAAGTCAAAAATAGGAAAAAATCAAAATCTGCACAAAGTATCACCATTGCTATTTTACGAAACAGATTTTTTTGGTCCCCTCTCTTACGGGTTGTTACCGCCTTCTTTACCACTGATCTAAATGCCATCATGATGTTACCACTGATAAAATTCCAATTTAATGTACACCTATAAATCATTATTTTGGACAGTGTTGGTGTAAATGTAATTTAACTTGATTATATAAATGAAACATGTAATTATTTTCAAATTCTACCGCACAACTTAATGAAACAAAGTTTTTACGATTGTACAATTTCTACATTCCTGAAGAAGAATAGTGACTATAAATCAGACAAAAATCTTCGAAATCGAATTATTTTATTTTGAGAATGCTATTAAAGCCATCATAAAGATCGATTATCAATTTTTATCAACCCATTTGTTTATCTTTACGAGAACACAATTAAACTGTAACCAAGTTTTGAAAAATTTTAATCATAATTATAATAACGATAATTTCTTCATTACTCATTCCTCATGTTTTATCAGTATTTCAGAATTTGTTATTTTTATCAACAATCGAAAATATTTTTAAAAAAAAATATATATAAAAACTAGAAATGTGTCATCATGCCACGGATGCCCCCGCATGCAGCCAAAATTTCAGATGTTATTATATTTAGTTCCAAATTTGTTTGCACAAATTATTGTTTTCATTTTAAGTTCAAAGCCCTTAAAACTTTTCAATGTTAACACAAACCATTTTCATACAATGTTCAAAGCACTGAAATTATTCAGTCTTAACCTTTTGAAAATAGCATATTTCATATTTGTAGCCAAAATAATGGCTACACACATTTCCACAAAAGTATGAGTGCTGAATCTGAAAGTTCAAAATTTTTTCCAATATTCAAGAAAGATAAGTTTGTCCAAAATCATTGAACCACAACCAAATTCAAACTTAAACTGCCTATTCCTAAGATGTATCTATATTATTTTCGAAGTGAAAGGGACATAACTCTGCCAAAAAATCATCGAACCATGACCAAATTCCAACTTGACCTGCCCATTCATTTGACATATCCATATGTCAAATTTTAGTTGAATATGTAACACTGTTGGGTAGATAATGAACAGAAACTGTAAATTTCATATTTTTTCGGAGTGAAAAGGGCATTACTCTGCCAAAAATTATTGAACCATGACCAAATTCGAACTTGACCTTGGCATTCCAAAAAAATATCCATATGTCAAATTTGAGTTGAATGTGTTGTACTGTTGGGGAGATAATAAACAGAAACTGAAAATTTCATATTATTTTCAAAGTAAAAGGAGCATAACTCTGCCAAAAATCATTGAACCATGACCAAATTCAAACTTGACCTGTATTTTCTCATGACATATCCATATGTCAAATTTGAGTTGAATGTGTTGTACCGTTGGGGAGATAATGAACGGAAACTGAAAATTTCATATTATTTTCAAAGTAAAAGGGGCATAACTCTGCCAAAAATCATCGAATCATAACCAAATTCGAACTTGACCTGTATTTTCTCATGACATATCCATATGTCAAATTTGAGTTGAATGTGTTGTACGGTTGGGGAGATAATGAACGGAAACTGAAAATTTCATATTATTTTCAAAGTAAAAGGGGCATAACTCTGCCAAAAATCGTTGAACCATGACCAAATTCGAACTTGACCTGTATTTTCTCATGACATATCCATATGTCAAATTTGAGTTGAATGTGTTGTACCGTTGGGGAGATAATGAACGGAAACTGAAAATTTCATATTATTTTCAAAGTAAAAGGGGCATAACTCTGCCAAAAATCATCGAACCATGACCAAATTCGAACTTGACCTGTATTTTCTCATGACATATCCATATGTCAAATTTGAGTTGAATATGTGCAACGGTTACTAAGATAATGAACGGAAACTGATGATGACGGAATGACAGAATGACGGAAGGACGGAATGACGGAAGGACGGAAGGACGGAACAGGGTAACACTATATGCCCCGGCCATTACATGGCGGGGGCATAAAAATTTAGCCATGTGAAAATTGGGTAATATGTCTAAAATTGTTGATTCCCAATTATTAAATATGCACTGGGTAAAGCATAAATCAGTGTTCTACAATTTTTTTAGTAATAAGCTAATTGTGTTTCAAGACTTAACCAAATACTGTTTGACTTAAAGAGAAAAACTTATTGAAATTTCAATCCAAAAAAATTCTGTTTCCTTTTTATATTTCTTGTGTTTTTTTAAGCATCACACAGACACATCATGTTATTATTATATTGCAACAGTTCTTTTTTTATATAAAAAATATAACTATACTATATGAGCTCCAAAACTACAGTTTTAATATCCACCATAAATATACTACATATCAATCAGTAAGTTTAATCTAGGTATGTTCCTTACACTGATAAGCCATGCCAAATTATTGCGCAACACTTGTTACAAAATAGAAAATTTAAACCCTTTACAACCTCAACAGAAATTCCAGATTTGTGAGTGGAAAAAAAAAGAAAAAGAATTTTATGTAACAAATCAAAATGTTTCATTCACCTGATAACAAGAAAAACATTGTTTTTGTAGCGAAACAAATTCACATCTGATAAGCCCAAGCCTAATAAAAAGTTAAACATAAACATGATGTAAGTTCCATGCCTGCCGCCTTCATGTAGAAATATGTGAATGAAATTCCAGATACACTCTGGTGATCACTATCATCTGTAGATATCACACCCTTTACTGTTTGCTTACACATTACACCTGGCTTCATTTCTAAACATTGGTGCTGTATTTTTTTTGTCCCTATGTTTTCTTGTTCCTATTTTTTAAATTTAGACCTTTTGGGTTCCATTCTTAAAACTTGAACCTTTTGATGTTTGACCTTCTTGGTCTGCTCTCAACTGATATCTTTCCAGTATATAATATATAAAATATATAATTATGACCTCTTTGATGCCTTATTTTCTAGTCCCCTTTGTTTTCTTGTTCCATTTTTTTATATTTAGACCTTTGCTTTGGACATGCCTCCTTTGAAATGATACCTTTCCCTTATTATATAAAATGTACATGTCCTTTTTATTAATTTAGACCTTCCCATTATGTTACATGTATTTTAGTTTTTCACAACAGATCAGGTTAGAATACGTTCAGCATCCTGTATACATTTGAAAGCTAAAGGCTTTATAGAAAATAATATACAATCATATTAAACAATTAAGACTTCCCATTATGTTGCTTATTTTACAGAATATGTAAGAAATCACCCACCAATATATCTTAATCATCATTACATACTAGTATTCTACATCCTTGATGCCATTAAAAGAATGGTGTGCAGCATGTACACTTTTACTTAGCACTATTTGACACTTTTGGAACTTTCACTGAAAATAATATCTGTACCCCCCCCCCCCAACAAAAATCGCAGCAAAACAAATGATATTTCTAATGAATTTGTCATTTATTCCCACTGAAAATGAAGAAAGTCTGAAAATATTATTAAAATAATCTTGATCCTCAGTGATATACCTTTAAAGAAACAGACACTTTTCAATACAAACAACAAAAGATTTATAGACAATATACAGACAATATAAACACACACAAAAATCATCCTAGAAAATATATTATTTAGTGCATACAATACACAGCCAAATTTCTCACCTGAGTGTAATAGCTTCCAGATTGAATCCAAAATATCAACAATCCCAAGTCTTGAATATAACTTGACTGGTTCCTGAAATATTTCTCTTAACTCCTCACCCCTATAAACACATTTTTGTCACACTTGAAACACAGTCTGGAATGAATAAGAAAATGGACACAAATTTATTTAGTGGCAATAAATCCAAAGTAATGAAGAATAAGAGCCTGTATTTTCACATTTCTCTTACTGTAGTTTTCAGCAGTGTATGGTGGCTAAAAATAAGAGGCTGAATGTGTGTGTGTACTAAACATTACATAGGTAAGTGCTACACTGCACACCAAAGAAATCTTGACTGAGTCACCCTCTGAATTTCTTAAGTGGGCTTGTCCAGCTTCTATTTCTTTGGAACTGCCCATTATCAACTGCAGGGATATCAAGATGAAAATTAATGTTAGCCTGCCCATAGTATAGAGGTTGGTCAATTTGCACAGATGTGCACTGGCTGGCCTGTCTCCATGCTTGTGGCAAAGGCTAATCTGTTTAAGCAGGGGCAGGGTTAAATTGATCTCATTCACTTAAAATAAAACAGGTTAGTGCATTAATAACAGGTCAAGTATTCCCAAGATTGAATAAAAAATTTCATCTACTTAAATGCAAGATGTAATTGTGCATATAAAAAGATTAATTGGTTGGCATGATTTATTATCTTCTATAAATTAATTGCACAACACTAAACAAACTTCAGTACAAGTTTAGGGGCCTAATGGACATGTGATACATATTTACTACTTGGAATCACTTGCCACTGGTTGTTGTAGGTTTGAATCCCTGCACAGGACTTTTGGAATATTTCATGTAAAGGAAACATATCCAACTAGCTAGCTTACAGAAGGTTGCTTGTTATATGCGGCTGTTGTCTGCTTGTGTTTGAGACAATGTACAATAAGGTGAATCGGTAAAGATTAACTCACAATTATTTATAACTTAAATATGTTGCTCAACTGAAACAAATTTAAACTCTAACCCACAAAAGACATTGTTGCAATTTTGTTATGAGCCCACTGCATTTAGCACTGGTTTTATGCTGCCCTGTCAATAGCAAAATGTTCAGGATAATTATTTTACCCTTACCATGCTTAATATCAACAACAGTGGGACTTTTTTCTGGGCAAAACCATTCATAATTTTTACAACAGTTAAAATATGTCCTGACTAAATAGCAAACACTGAAGATCTTAGCCTGTGTTGTTTGCATGGGTAGATGCTAGTCTTAGTGTTAACGCATCAGCACTGTACTGTCTACAAGCACGATTTTAATGCTGTGCAGTATACATACCTGTTTGGTGGCGTGCCAGTAGCGGCACTTAGAGGCTGGTAAAACAACAAACACAGTTCTATACTGCCTCATGCACAACTAATTGGTGTGCATTTCAAACCTAGGTCTTAGATATGCATTGTCGGAGACGTTATTAATGATCCATAAACCATCAAACACCAAAAAAATACTTAATGAGATACAACTCTTTAGTATTGTTTCTGTCTCATTGTTTCAATTGAATTGTATAGATCTAATGAAACAGAAAGACATTCTGGCAGATTATAAACGAAATCAAAAGTTAAAGTTTGAAGAAAGAAAAAGATTACAGAAAAGTTACCTTTTCAACATCTGAAGATTATTAGATTATTATTTATCTGAAGATGTTTAATTGAAATTTATATTGATTTAACTAAATGATTAACAAATTATATAACTATAACATTATTTTTTCAGCATCCTCGACGATTTATTCCTTCAAAACATCTAAGGCTAATTATCGTTTTTCATTTATAGGAAAGCTGGATATTTTTTCAATCATTAAGTAAGTCATGTAATAATCTTTAGAAAAATAATAGACTCAGCACTTTTCGGGAAAGGTTAGATTAGCATAAAACTGCAATAAATTTAAGGAGAGTTGAAACCGAATGACTCCTTCAACAAATATTCATTCTCTAAATGGTACAAAATTTACTTCTTTTTTTTTCGGTTAATCTATTTTATTATAATAACCATTCATAACAGCTTGAGGTTTTTAACATTTTTTTCTCTCCCATTTGTTATAGAGGTTTATGATAATTAACATTGAGATTTGTAGAACTTGCATAATGTGGTAGAGGAAGGGGAACACTTAAAAAGTGCTTTATTATAATAGGTAAAAAAAAGTATTTAAAAATTGTAACAGGAAGTAATATTTTATGCTCTAGAAAATGAGGAAAGTATTTTTTTAAATAAAAATGCAGCAAATTTTTTTAGATATATGTACATGCAGCAAGTAATGAGCAAATTATGATTACTATTTTTATCTTTTCATAGTCATTCAGTATTTTTAATAATTTACAATTCCAAAATCACTTAATGTTTATAAATCACCATTATTATCACTGTACATGTATATATTCACAAATGACGTGCTAAAAAATAATCGAGAAAAAAAGATTTTAGTTAAACTTTTATTTTATTAAAGTCTGAATGTCCCTTACCTATGTATATTGACAATGTTTGCGTTGATTTAATTAAATCACACGCACACAAAAATTCCTCCATGCAGGTTACAACGATTGTATTCCATTTTAATCCTTAATCCAAGTTTAAACATCCCCATACCTTTTTTTCTCTTTACTTAACGTTTTCCACACATCACTTTGATCATCCTAGTGCATGTAATATCATTTCAAACGGTGTAAAATACCATAAACGGTCCTTCCAAATAAACCTGTGATCAGTTACAAGCCCCGTCAATAAATTTTAAAACCACTCGGTAGCCGATATATTATTTTCATTATTTTCAAAACCGAAATTCCGAAAAATGTGTTAAAACAGCGGAAATGACCAATAAATTGTGAAAGTGTTCGGGGCCGATGTTGAATACAGATCAAACAGTAGCTCAATTTGCTTCATTACAATGACGATATTTACAAACTTGTCTCGTGTCAATAGGCCTCGGACAACTTACTATTTACTCTCAAACTATACAGTGTCATATTAAACATCATGACTGGATAATAGAAAGAACTAAATTGGAAACGTACTGGCGTACTAATTTAAAAACGCTATCGAAAACTACCAGAAATATCAGATAATGGCACAATAGCATGCTGGGTCCGAATAAAGAAAAAACAATAATAAATTCCTCGCATTCCATGAACATGTTTTTTTCTTCAAAATTTGATTCATGAATCTATTGCTTTATGGTAATAAATATGATGAAATAATGAAGTAGAGAAAAATTGTTTCAGGAAAGAAAAAGGTGACATCTTTATTAGTCACAATACTAATTAATTATTGGCGTTATCAATTTCTGAAAATATGAAGAAAATTTAGAGAAAAGTTAAGTTTTCAAGATTAAAGGAAAATGACTTCATTTAATATTGTGTAACATTGACCTTGAAGACTTTGGTTTTAATGTTGCATTATTATGTTTAGTTGTAACATTTGCCCTCTTTAATCATCATCCCCCTAAATATATTTTGAAACAGAATTGGGCATAATAGAATAACAGTTAATTATCGGTCTTTGAATAACAATTAATTATCGGTCTGTAAAATTGTAAATTCTAAACAATTTTATTACTATAATCAGTATTATTATTATTATTATTATTTTGACCAAATGATACGGAAAAAGGTAACAGGTTTACAAATAAATCTTTTTCAAACTCATTAGCCAGTTAAAATGTGGACTAAAAATAAATTAGCGCATCAAATATGTAAAGAAACGTTTCCTTAACGCATTAAGATTTTATTTATAATATAACAAGCATTTTTAATTTACCTTATTCCTATCTTAATAGGTACCATAAGCGGATAAAGCCTGAAAACTTAGCATAAATTTTCATGAAAATGAGGGTTTTAAAACAAGCCAGTTTTTTAAGACGTAGGTTTTAGTATCACAAAGAATGTTAAGACTGAAATTCTTTCACAACGGATGACATTCATGAAAGGATTGTGTTATTTCTGAAATTTTATATTCAGCTTTTAATGAGAGATTTGCATTAATACAACAGCGATCCTGTCATAAAATGTCTGGTGTTTTGAAAATCCATCTCATTGTTATTTTGGAATATTATCTTGCATAAAGTTTAACCGAACCTTGAATTGCAAATGGCAATATGCATGAGGATATTTATCATATTCATTGCTTTCTTTGAATTTTATTTTTGTACAAATTTGTTAAAGAAAATCATCTTTCGAACTTATGATTTGAACAAATATGACTAAATACTTGAAATAAATCCTGAGGTCCTTTTAAGATCATGGAAATTTGTATCCTTTACCATCCACCATTCTTAGTCTACCCTGATCAAGAGAAAAAAGTCACAAGATCAGTAAACCAGCAATGGATGCCGTTACTATTTTGCTAAATGGACCAAATCTTGGTAAAAGCATAAATTTTCTAAAATAGTGACCTTGAGCCTTGGTGACATTGACCCACTCAAGTGACCTTGACCCAGTTAACATTAATTGTTATATTTAAAATATCAGTCAATAATCGAAAGTGCTATTAGAAATGGAACAATCTAATATATACGTCAATAAACAAAAGTGCAATTAGAAATGGTACGGAGGTTAATAAAGGACTGTAGCAGCGTACAAACAGCAACAATCTGCTCCATCAAAAAAATGTTTGGGAGAGAAAAAACAAAAAACATTGCAAACCAAAACCATTATGCAATTGAAAGTATCATATTATTTAGCTTTCATCTCTTATCATCCAATCAAACTCACCGATAAATCAATGCTTATCAGCTCAGCCAATCAAAATCTGTTTTACAACACAGAACAAGTGCATGTTTAGAGAACATTTCGGGTTATTTTCTGCTGCAAACCATTGATAAAAGGCAGGCTATAGTTAATTAATGTTCCAACTAATTAATTTGGCACTAACTAATGTAAAAGTCCGCTGATAATGCAGATAATCTGCCAAATATCGTTTACAACGTAAATCTATCACCAGGTGTATCATGTTGTTTGTGACCTCTTCATATATTTTCAATAAAACACATGTTATTGGTGTTTATTTTTTTCTTCTTTTGGTGAACTTATCTCATTGTGAATCATGAGTCATTTTGGAATTTTTTCATTCTCTGTTTCAACATGTATGAATTTAAAAACCAAAA